TAAATACGAACTTTGAAACAATTCCGGTCTATAGTACACCTTGCTGTAATCTACTTTTGATGTCAAGACGTGCTGAAATAAAAAAATAAACGGCTGGCTACGTTGTTTAATACCTAGATAGGTTATGGATTCCAAATTTTAAATTGGATTAACTAATCGGAATTGTAGCGACAAATTTCCCAAAAGAGATCAATTTTTAACATTGTTTTACTTATTTTTGCTTAATTGTTGCACCTTTTAACTCAAGCTTAACGAAAACTTATTATAAAGAATATAAAATAACTAAACTTATTATTGAAATCTAAAATACCTAAAAATATTAATAATTAAAAGACACTTGACATAACTTCTCTATAAATATGTACTAAATATTGTAATATCACGTGTAAAATCATCCTTACTTCAACATCAGGCCTGCTGTACGGAGTTTCGGAAACATTTGTAAGTAACTTACTTTTACTTTCTTTGTACAAGTTGTAATGTACTAAATATTGTAATATCACGTGTAAAATCATCCTTACTTCAACATCAGGCCTGCTGTACGGAGTTTCGGAAACATTTGTAAGTAACTTACTTTTACTTTCTTGTACAAAATGGATTTAAGATGTTAAATTCTTGAATATTAGAAACTAGCTGGCCCAGTCCGCGTTGCCGGGCCGTTTTAGTTGGAGAGTTAAAAACCTAAATAAAATAGCATATATTTTGATACATTAACTGTTTATAATAGGCCCATGTAAGATGGTTCTCTACCCCCAAAGTAGCCTAAACACACATTTTAGGTCAAATCGATTCGAATATATAATCAAAACCCTCGAAATAGGTAAAATCAGGAGGTTTTTTATATGAGCACTACTCCGAAACATTGACATTGAAAAATTTCCGCGAAGAGGTCTTCTACCTGAGCTAGATACCAAATAAGGGCAAAATCAATTGAAAAATGTGAGCAAGACCCTGGTAATAAATCACCGGATACCTTCACATACGAGTTATAATGAAGCATGATCCTATACTTATAATTATTTGAAAGAATTTGTTTTTCTTTATAAAATCTCAAATTACAACATTTGAGGAATTTGAAAGGGGCTATATCATTTGAGGGGGGGCTATATCACAATGTAGAACAACCTGATACATATTTTGTACAAATGATTCCTCATATATAACCCCTAGGATTGTATCAAATTTAAAACTTTATCGTAACTATTGCGGAGTATAGGGCAAAATATTTGTATGGTTAAGCTATACAAAATGGACTCTAAAAAAGTTAGATCCGGGAACCACTCTTTTGGGATTTTTATTTACCAACCGAAAAATTTCCTAACTCCAAGAATGTCTGCGGCGCTGTGTAATTACTGACGATAGAGCATAGTGCCCGTATAACGTTACCTATGATTTAAAGTTACTTTTAAGGGTTCGGAAGAATTTTCCGAGTATATGAATCCTTTTCTTACTATATTTTCAATTCACTCCACTATTTTGTATAGTCCGCATATTACAGTGCCTCTTTATATTCGGTATTTCACTGATTGAAGTCCCAATGAATTTCGTATTTTGAGTTCTCATTGGATGGATTATTTCCATACCTAATCAAAATTGAAAATGTTGATATGGCAACCATATAACAGCATGTACAGAAAATATGCAAACTGTCTCGATTTTTTCGGTTTTTTTTTTTTCAATAAGAATTTTCAATTCCAAAAGGCATTCTGAAACAATTCTACACAAAATTCCATATCATAATAGATCAGTCAATTTTTTTAGTTCTGCGATTTTTCTCAAAAATTTCTTTCATGACAACGTTTCCAATGCAATTACAAATAACCAAAAGAGTCAGATCGACTGATGTGTTACTATACTTTTTCAAATTATTTATAAATTTAAAGACGTAGGTGTGGCCAGTTCCTCTGACCCCAAACAGATACCTAGGGTTGGAGGGGGAGAGTCAAGATTACGTCGTATACTAACTGTGGAACAGATGTCTTCATGATTTTAACAAATATTAGTATTTTAGATAAATCAAAAAAATAGGCGCAAAATTGGGCGTGGTCACTTTTTCTCTGCATAAAAACCTAAATCGGGGTAGACGAACAATTAAAAAAAATACAAATAGTTCCAGCCGGTCTCAAGTGATTCAATTACCAACGAACAAAATTTGGTTTATATATAGATTAAAAAGTAGGCGTGGTCAGTTCCTCAGCCCCCAAATAAATACTTAGGATTGGAGTGAAAGTCTACAGAATGTCGTGTAATAATTTTAAAACCGATACCTTCATTATTTGGCAAATATAAGAATTTTAGTAAAATGGAAATTGTGGGCGTAAAAGTAGGCGTGGTCAATATTTTTTTTCTTTAAAAACCTAACTCGGGGTATGACGAACGTTTGTACAAAAAACATGCAAATCGTTTGTTAATGAGGTCACTATTTTTTCAATAAAATATAAACAAAACAATAGACTGCTTTGAACCTTCAGTTACTTTGTGACTTAATGGCCTAACTATACCATTTCAAAATTTTTTTGGGTTTGTAAAAGAAACATTGGGAGTTATAATGACTTCGAAGACTAACCACTGCCCATTATAATATTCGACAGCATGTTTTTGCTCTACCAACGTCGATGACGTTCAACGGCTTAGGACGAAAATTACATGTAACGACAAGCATTGTTACTTACTATGGAGGGTATATTAATCCACCATACCATGGAGGGTATATTAACTTTGTCATTCCGTTTGTAACTCCTCGAAGTACTCACGTCAGACCCAACAAAGTATATATATTCTTGATCAGCGTAAAATTCTAAGACGAAAACGATTGAAAGAATTTTTAATGTTTGTGACTTCGTGTGAGCAGTACGTTATTCGTTTCGTTTGGTTTAGTTCGCTGGCGAAAACTATAATTACATTCACGAATGTTGTCTAAACTTGTTAATAAATCACAGTTAGTTAAAAGCAATAAATAACAAATAAATGAACTTTGAATGATGAGTTTGACTGTACTGAACATTTCATTCCCTCTCCACCACGTGAAAGCTTAAGTTTTGGTCAATTCGGCTATCTTAAAAATCCCTAAAATGTTGAAGTTCCATTATATGTGGGCTATATTCTGTGACAGAAGTCAAATAATAAGTTGAGAAGCGGAAAATTCAAATTTAAGAAGAAGGTACCGTTAAATGGAGGAGGGGGTCTATCAAGAAAGTGAACTACGTTAAATATTTTTGAAAGAAGTTAAAGTATACCGTACCGTTATATGAAGGGGGTGGCTCTATGAAGAAAGTGTACCACGTTAAATATTTTCGAGAGCAATTAAACTACTCAAATTTTAACCTACAGCTGAATTGGTTAGAAATTGTTAATGGGCGGACATCGTTAAGTCAACTGATCACGAATGTATGTACTTCATGTAATCCCCGACCAATATTTTCCATGTGTTGTAAACATAAAGACAAAGTTAATATACGCTCCACTTTGTGGTGGGAGATTGGTTGTGAGATGCACCACTTGATGGTGGGATCAGTGAAGAACGATAGAGTTTCTATCTCTCACCAGCCAAATAGCCTACGTCTCTTTTTGGCTAACATGGGATATCTGCATAGCAGATGTTTAATTGTCTCTACCACTTCTTCATACTGACATAGTCCACAGTAGTCAGGAGCTCTGCGTTTTCATCTTCATGCCAGATACCTGATACTGCTGTGGCTCTTCAGTATGCCTGCCACGACTCTTAGTTCAGACATACAAAATGATAAAAGGAAGCTTGTTCTTCTGCACGAAATTACTGGCCAGATGGCCTTATATACACGTTCGTGTTTGTTTATTTTTCTGCTTTGGGAGCAGCATATCCCGAAATGCCTGATCCGGATTGCTCTAGTTCGTGCCAGGATCGAACAAAACTCTGGACCTTGTTTCTATTCGGTTTCGGTGCGATGTAATGGATGCAGAGAAAGAGCGCACTAAAGAAATAGTTCCATATTAAGACAGCGAAAGGGATTTTATTGCGACGGACTACAGAAACCTTATCAGCCCAGCGAGTCCACGTCTTCGTCGTTCTCCTCTGATTCTTCGTCGGAGTATCGAACTATGGCCTCCCGAATAATAACCTATACCGCAGCGTCTTACACATGTTGCTGTTCCAACTCCGGGTTGTACAATTTAATTGCAACGGAGTCCGAGGTAAAATATATGACATAGTAGAATATATGGAATTAATGAAAATTGCACCTTACAACGTTGTTATGGTTATAACGTATTGAGGAATTTTGCATTTTGAGTTCTCATTGGATTGATTATTTCCATATCTAATCAAAATTGATAATTTGGGTATGGCAACTATATAACCACATGTATACAAAATATGCAAACTTTCTCGATTTTTTCGGTTTTTTCAATAAGAATTTTCAATTCCAAATGGAATTCTGAAACATTTCTACACAAAATTCCATATCATAATAGAAAAAAACAATGAAATTCCACATTTGAATAAAATAAACATTTAAATTAATCTGTAGTATTTAAGATAATCATTAAGAGATTTCTTTGTAAAAATATGGAATAAATAGTAAATATATAACCTGAGGTAAACAAAGGAAATCAATGTTATAATAGGATTATGACGACTACATTAAGAATTCATTCATAACTTGGTTGGGAAGGACTCGGGAATGTACATATTCTCCCGTTAACCAATTTTAAGCCATGAAAACAGATCAAATATACTACGCTTTTCTATGACAACATGTGAAATTCTTTGTAATAGTCATAGTCAATTAGTAAGAATTTGCACACATTCGGACGAGCTACACCTAATCGACAAGCACGTGCTGGCCGCTATGAGAACTGTGTAAAAAAATCAAATCATATATTCAACATTGTTAAAGGCCAAACGTTACGCTATAATGTCGCTAAAATCATCAAAATACGGAACTTAACCTGCCTATTGGCAAAATACACAATGTCAATCCTGGTCCCAAAAATCTTTGTGTAAATAATAAGTTATGTATTACCTTATCTCCTTTATTACATGGCGTAAACCACATTTTCATAAAAACTTCAGTAACGAGTTTTTGAATGCCTTCTTCGTCATTAACACGTCTTATCATCTTGACGCATATCTCAGGTATTTTTTTAAAATCTGGATATTCTATGCATATATCACGCAAAATTTTAATAACGCGTTTTCTCACCGACACACCAGTGTCCTAAAATTTAAAAACACATATATTTCGTAACACGATAAAATCTATGACCATTAATATGTACCAAAATTCTTGTAGACAACATGTCGTAATACTGATCAATTAGTTCTTCATTGCTTAGAACAAATTTTCCAATTAAGTCAACAGCTGCTTCTCGCACGGAAATAGCGGCATCCAAGAACTTTTGGTTTACTCCCACTTGCATGTCTTTTCTTTTCAAAACGAAGGGATCCACTTCTACAATATTAGCCAAACACTTCATTGCTCTAGTTCTTACAGCTATTGAGGGCTCGCTGGAATATGCAAAATTAAGTTATTAGTATAACAAAAATGTAGACATAAGTATTTACTTCACAACTAGTATAATTTTCTTTAAGTAACCATCAAAAGACTGACTAAAAGGCCTTTTGGTCCCCAGATATTGTGCAATAAGTTGAGCGTTGTTGTAGTCAATATAAGTTTTGATATGTTGAGTTGCATGGTTGTTAATATCGGTCAGGGAAGCATATGGTCTAATTTTTGAAAGAAGATAGCTCTTCCTTTCCTCCAGACTTTTAAAAATTTCTAAGTTCAATTCCTGATCCACAACAGTCGAGTTGAAATTTTGTAACTCATTGGTGCTTTTGTCATCCCCGCTTTCTACATCACTCTCACCCTGCGATGAGTCCGAAGATATTCCTAGAATGAAAGAATAGTGTATATAAAAGTAAAAATATGAATCTATATTTAGTAATATAATACTAGGACTGGTCCAGCTAGTATATATATAGAGTTAATGGATACTTTTCAATATATTTGCTATATTATTTAGGTTTAATATATATATATATATATATATATATATATATATATATATATATATATATATATATATATATATTTATTTATTTATTTATATATATATATATATATATATATATATATATATATATATATATATATATATATATATATATATATATATATATATATATAGGCCAACCTGATACATATTTTGTACAAATGATTCCTCATGTAACCCCCAGGACTGTATCAAATTTAAAACTTTATCGTAACCTTTATGTATGATTTAGCTAAACAAAATGGACACTAAAAATATGTATCAGGTACATATATATATATATATATATATATATATATATATATATATATATATATAGGGGCCAACCTGATACATATTTTGTACAAATGATTCCTCATGTAACCCCCAGGACTGTATCAAATTTAAAACTTTATCGGAACCTTTGTGTATGATGTAGCTAAACAAAATGGACACTAAAAAAGTTAGATCCGGGAACCCCTCTTTTGGGATTTTTATTTACCGACCGAAAAATTTCCTAACCCCAAGATTGTCTGCGGCGCTATGTAATTACTGACGATAGCGAATATTGCCCGTATAACGTTACCTATGATTTAAGGTTACTTTTAAGGGTTTGGAAGAATTTTTCGAGTATTTTCTTACGATATTTTCAATTCACTCCACAATTTTTTATAGTTCGCATATTATACTTGCTCTTCATATTCGGTATTTCACTTATTCAAGTCCCAATGAATATTGCATTTTGAGTTCTCATTGGATGGATTATTTCTATATCTAATCAAAATTGAAAATTTGGGTATGGCAACCAAAAGAAAATTTGAGTCAAATCGGCCCAGCCGTTCTCAACTGATGTGTTACTATACTTCTTCAATTTTTTTACATATAAATTTAAAGAAGTAGGTGTGGCCAGTTCCTCTGACAGTTACCTAGAGTTGATGGAGGTGGTTGTTTGCGGGGAGAGTCAAGATTACGTCGTATACTAACTGTCGAACAGATATCTTCATGAGTTTGGAAAATATTAGAATTTTAGGTAAATCGAAAATATGGGTGCAAAATTGAACGCGGTTACTTTTTCTTTGCATGAAAAACTAAATCGAGGTGGGTCGAACATTTAAGTATCCAAATAGTTCCAGCCGGTCTCAACTAATTAAATTACCAACGAACAACAATTGGTTTAAGTATAGATTAAAAGTAGGGGTAGTAAGTTCCTCAGCCTCCAAATAAATACTAAGGATTGGAGGGAAAGTCGTGTAATAACTATAAAGCCAATATCTTCATTATTTGGCAAATATAAGAATTTTAGTTTAATCGAAATAGTGGGCGTAAATGTAGGCGTGGTCCATATTTTTTTCTTTAAAAACCTAAATTTGTATGTAAAAAATTTTAATAAGTACTAGCTGGCCTGGTCCGCTTTGCCGGTCCGTAGTTTTAGTCTTTAATGCATAGTTTTTAAAACATAATTATTTTCAGCCAGAAGTTTTAATTTGAGAGTTTAAAACCTAAAAAAATAGATCATATGTATTAAAATTAACTGTTTTTTTTTTAATAGCCCTCTACCCCCAAATTAGCCTAAAAACACATTTTAAGCCAAATCGATTCGATTATATAATCAAAAAATTTCAGCGAAGAGGTATTCTACCCCCTTAGAAGATAAGATGCCAAATAAGGGTAAAATCAATTGAAAAATGGGACCAAGTCGCTGGAAATAGCGGAAATCATCGGATGCCTTCATATAAGGGTTATACCAAAGCATGGTCCTATTCTTATAATTATTTGAAAGAATGTGTTGTTCTTCCTAAAATCTCAAATTACCAACATTTGAGGAACTTGAAAGGGGCTACATCATTTGAGGGACTACATCAATTTAGACCGACCTGAAACATATTTTGTACAACTGATTTTTCATGACACCCTGGACTGTATCAAATTTAAAACTCTATTGTAACTTTTGTGAAGTATAGAGCAAAACATTTGAGGCCCTTTGTGTTTGGTTAAGCTATATAAAATGGACCCTAAAGACGTTTGACCCGAAACCCCTTTAAGGGATTTTTATCTACTTACCAAACAATTTTCCAAGTGTAATAATCCGCAGTGTAATTACTGACGATAGCGCACAGTCACCGTATAACGTTACATGTTACACGTTACATTTTCCGAGGATATGAATCCTCTTTCTAAATTTTCTATTTGCTCCACTATTTTGTATAGTCCGCTTATAACAGTGCTCTTCATATTTGGTATTTCACTGATTGCAGTCCCAATGAATCTTGCATTTTAAGTTCTCATTTGATGGATTATTTCCATATCTAGTCAATTTCTTGCAGTTTTGGACTTCAGAATCGATAGTAATTCCTAAATTGAAATTCTGGCAATATGACTTTAATTTAACTATCAAAAATAAAGTTTCATCGATTTATAAAAGTTAGGGACCCCATAAAGTATGTTAAAAAGTTTGAAATCTTTGTTGATTAAATTATGCCCGTGAGCCTCTTCATTCACCATTTGCAATTACGATAGAGGTCACCAAATTTAATATGCGTCTTTCAGTCTAAGCACAAAAGTTATATATTTGTTCTCATTTCACCAAATGGGCTTTAAATTTTATGTATTTTGAAGGGTTCAAATCATTTTTGAAGTTATAAATCATTTGTCAGAAAATTACAACAAAAGTCCACTTTATGATTTATTTTGTATTCCCCAGTACCTCTTTATATTCGTTATATCATCGTATTTAATTAAATTTTCAATTCTCAATTATCAGTATTATAAAGGTCTTAGCAATATTTTCCAAGTTAAAAGTAATTTTAGAATTCGTAACTTTTAGAAGATCATGTTATAAGGTACTTAGTTTTTACCAGTCGATTAAACTATATCTGTCTGTGTTTGCGGGCGTTCGTTGAAATCGCAATAAAGGCGAAATATTTAGTTTAATCTTTGAACTACAATATTCCTAGAAAGTTAGAATATATCTGTTCCGTTTAGGTATAATAATACCACAAAAAATTCGTCCTTTTGCATGTTTGTGTTACAATTTCTACCGAATTATCTGTAACTTGACTTTTTGGTATTGTGAAATCAATACCGGAAATATCTGGCTACTTTTGGTTCCCCATTAGGCATAGCCTCAATTTAAAAAAGTATTTTTAGTCAAAATTGAAAATTTTGGTTTGCCAACCAAATATACAAATAACCAAAAGAAAATTTGAGTCAAATCGGCCAGCCGTTCTTAACTAATGTGTTACTATACTTTTTTAAATTTTTACATACAGATTTAAAGAAGTAGGTGTGGTCAGTTAATCTGACCCCAAATATATACCTAAGGTTGGAGGGAGAGTCAAGATTACGTCATATACTAACTGTGGAACAGATATCTTCATGATTTTGGAAAATAATAGGATTTTAGGTAAATTAAAAAAGGGCGTAAAATTGGGAGTGGTCACTTTTTCTTTGAATAAAAAAACCTAACTCGGGGTAGAACTAATATTAAAAAAAAAATTATCCATATCCATATATATAGACTAAAAAGTAGACGTGGCCAGTTCCCCAGCGCCCAAATAAATACTTAGGACTGGATGGAAGGTCAACAGTATCTCATATAATAATTTTCAAGCCGATATCTTTATTATTTGGCAAATATAAGGATTTTAGATGAATCAGAATAGTGGGCGTAAATGTAGGCGTGTTCAATATTTTTTCTTTATATATATAGATATATAAAAATCAATTGTTGTTCGTTGGTAATGGAATCAGTAGAGAACGGCTGGACCGATTTGCATATTTTTTCCATTACCAATGAACAACAATTGATTTTTATGTATAGATATATAAAAATCAATAGTTCCAAAAGTAAAGAAGCGACTTGATCGAAAAGCAGTGGCCGAAAAATGGCTCCTGCGCAGAACATATCGCAATATTCCATTCGGCAAAAAAAATAAGCTCGGGGTAGAGAGCTAAAGAGATGCTTCGCTTGGCCAAATCTAGTGAACTGCCGGATTTGGTTTTCTTCGATGAAAAAAAATCACCGTCCAGCAGTTTGTAAACAAACAAAATAATCTTGTTTATTTGCAAAAAAGGTCAGCTGAAAATATGCACCTTCGGTTGGCCACCAGAACTCAAGCGCTGGCCATGGTGATGGTGTGGGCCGCCATAACAGCCGATGGTCGCTTTCCGCTCGTATTAATCGACCCTGGCATCAGAATAAATGCCGAATATTATCGGAAAGCCTTGGGCACGCAAAGATTTTGGCCGCAGACCTTGGACATTCCAACAGGACTCAGCGCCCAAAAATGGTTACAAAATGAGGTTCCTCGCTTCATTTCCAGCGTAGAGCAAGTGGAACTACACGAATATCATTTCAGAAGAGGATTCAAAATAAAGAAATATTTTCACCATATAAAAGAGAGAGAAAACAAAAAAATCGCATGAAAATATGCCAATGAAAATGCGAATTAAAAAATATTTTTGGCGTAATCTTTTTTTTTTAACTTGACATACTATATTAAAGTGTACATTTTTTATTGCTTGAATGAATAACATTAAATATAAAATTAGTGCGCAGTACGATGTTAAATGGGGATCCTTTATGTCTAAAATTGGCATCTAGTTTTCAACTCCAGGACCTAAATCGTGCTTCAGCTGGAAGATGCGAACACATTTAAACAAACAAAAATTACCGACAAAACGTGATGGAGCTAATTTTAAAACTTAGATCTACTTCTTTCATATGACAATAATCCGTCCAATGAGAACTCAAAATGCAAAATTCATAGGGACTGCAATCAGAACATCCGAATATAAAGGCTGCAAAAATTGTAGAGAAAATTGGACATTTAGTAAGAAAAAAATTTATATCCTTGCAGAAATTCTTCCTAAATATCTTTTGCAAGTCATCATATGGGTCATAACTCCCATTTAAGAGTACAACCCGATTTCAAGCATATTTTACATTTTAACCATATTTTTCATATTAATTTCGCCCAATGTTGGTAATTTGAGAAGAAACCATCCTTGCAAAAAAGGATCACTTTTTGGAATAACCATCATATGATTCAAGGTATTTTCGGGGTCTTGCCCATTTTTATTCATTTATTTGGTCCTTATTTGTTTCTAAGGGGGTAGAAACTCTCTTCTCATAAAATTTTAAATTTTCGGAATTGGGTCCATCTTGATCTTGAAATGTCAGTCGGAAATTGTGGCAGAAACATGAAAAAAATACAAATATTAGAAAATAGCACGGAACCGAACATTTGTTTGATTGTAATTGAATTATACTATGATGAAAATATGGATTTTGTGGCTTTAATGCAGGGCTAGGAAGAGAGCCTCAAAATTTTTTTTGTATGTGTTTTGAAATAACAAAATATTGCAAGTGTTTTTTGCCTCTCTTTACACAGTGAGAAATAATTTATTATCCGTAAGTTTTCAGTTATAAATGTTCTCTCCAATTTTTATAATTTGTTGTTTAAGTTTGCTTTGTTTTTAACGTCAATTTGTAATCGGAATTCGTTGGCAGAAATTTGGAGCTATATTTACACAATTATTAAAAAAAGAAGATGATATAAATGTCATCCAAAAATATTTTCAGAAATTTTAAATAATTGTTTAATAATTTCGGACATAACATGCTAACCATCCAAATTGACCCTTTAAAAAGTAATACCGATTACTACAGGCTGATATACAGACATACGCAAATAGTCGTAGAATTTTACTCTGATCAAAAACTTATATCCTGTGTTGGGTCCTAAAAGATTATTTCTGTGAATTACAAACAGAATGATAAACATCACATCTTGCTATTTTTCCTAAAATTGACTAAGACTGTACATGCCATTTCATAGAAATCAGGGGATACTAAAATGTCTACTAATTTAGAAGGAAAATTAATTTTTCGGTCAATATGAAATGAACTCCTACTCCTAAAATGTGAATCCCTATACAGATTCTGTCAAACAGAAATTAATCAAAAAAATAAATCTTAACAGTCGTAATTTTTACAATTTCGCAAATATTTGTTTAAAATATATAGATATATATATATATATATATATATATATATATATATATATATATATATATATATATATATATATATATATATATATATATATATATATATATATATATATATATATATAGATATATATATATATATATATATATATATATATATATATATATATATATATATGCTCCAATATTTCTTACGCTGTATTCATTAAAATATCCGACAGCACCTTCTTCATCGACTGCTCGAATAAAACTAAAAGGGCAAAGAGTATCACTTGGGATATCTGTGTGTTCACCAACACAATTGTAAAAAATAAATTCCCAACATACCAAACCTAGCATACCAAATTGACTTGAGAATAATATTTTAATAAGCTTTCACACATAAGCCTTAAGCTTGAGAAAATCTTGAGAATGTATTGAGAAATGCTTGTTTAACAATTATAGAAAAATCGAAAGGGAACCCTTACTCATAAGCTTATTCTTGTAATTGCAGAATAAGCTTACGAAAGTAATATATTTTCAATGGTATAAAATATTTATTTTTTATTTTTTTTAATTATTTTACACATTTCATTCATTGATCGCCATCCTAGCTGTCGCTGCCTTCCGCATCTCCTCCACTAATTCTTCACTTCTCTTGAATTCTTGCAACTTTTTGACGCCTCTATTCTGAAATGAGATTGAAATAATATACACTATAGATTCCCAGATTTATTATTCATCATTACCTTAGAATTTCGTCCAGAAATGGGTCTTAAATTCGCGTGATTTTGATTTTAACCAAAGAAAATATTTTTTTGTCAACAATTTTCAGAAAAAAAATTAAAACAAATTTGTCAACAAAGGACAGATTTGAGAAAAGTTTGTGCAAAAAAGTTTTTCTCTAGCATTGTTGAAGAATTCTTACGATAAACTATTTTCATAATATTATTCTCAAGCTGTATTATGTTTTTGGTATGTTGGGAATTGACTTGAGAATAATATTTTAATAAGCTTTCAAACATAAGCCTTAAGCTTGAGAAAATCTTGAGAATGTATTGAGAAATGATTGTTTAACAATTATAGAATAATCGAAAGGGAACCCTTATTCATAAGCTTATTCTTGTAATTGCAGAATAAGCTTACGAAAGTAATATTATATCAAGCTTATTTTTTCAATGGTATAAAATATTTATTTTTTAATTTTTCTAATTATTTTACACATTTCATTCATTGATCGCCATCCTAGCTGTCGCTGCCTCCTGTTGCATTCTTTCCCCTTATTTGAGCTTCCGCATCTCCTCCACTAATTCTTCACTTCTCTTGAATTCTTGCAACTTTTTGACGCCTCTATTCTGGAATGAGATTGAAATAATATACACTACAGATTCCCAGATTTATTATTCATCATTACCTTAGAATTTCGTCCAGAAATGGGTCTTAAATTCGCGTGATTTTGATTTTAACCAAAGAAAATATTTTTTTGTCGACAATTTTCACAAAAAAAAAAAAAAAAAATTAAAACAAATTTGTCAACAAAGGACAGATTTGAGAAAAGTTTGTGCAAAAAAGTTTTTCTCTAGCATTGTTGAAGAATTCTTACGATAAACTATTTTCATAATATTATTCTCAAGCTGTATTGTATTTTTGGTATGTTGGGTTGTTTTGAATTTTCTGTCAAATTGGTTTTGGGAGAATATTTAGTTTTGTTCGAGCAGTCGATGAGGAAGGTGCTATCGGATATTTCTATGAATACACCTTAAGAAATATTGGAGCAGAAATATATCTTACAACATATTTAAAATAAATATTTCCGAAATTGTAAAAATTATAACTTTTAAGAATTATATTCTTTGATCGAATTCTATTTGACAAAATTTGCATTCGAATTCACATGTTAGGAATAGAAATTTTTTTAATATTGTTAGATAAATGTATTGTCCTTCCAAATTAGTGGACATTTTCATATCCCTTGATTTCTCTGAAATGATATGTACGTTCTTAGTCAAGAACAGGATCTGATGTTTGTCATTCTGTTTGTAATTCATAGAAATATTATTTTAGGACCGAACGCAGGATATGATGTTTTGATCAGCATAAAATTCTACGACTATTTACCTATGTCAGTGTGTGGTAATCGGGATTACTTTTCAAAGGGTCAACTTAGATGGTTAGTATGTTATGTCCGAAATTATTAAACACAAATAACATCACAATTATATAAATTTTCTGAAAATGTCAACTTTTATATATATATATATATATATATATATATATATATATATATATATATATATATATATATATATTTTTTTTTTTTTTTTTTTTTTATTTTAAAATGAATCATAATCGAAATAATTGTGCAAATATATCTCCGAATTTTCCGATCAAAATATAAATTTTTACCAATAAAGTTGTTTTGAAAATAGAAAATTTTAAATTGAAAATTTAAAGATAACAAATTATTTCTCACTCTGTAAAGAGAGGCAAAAATACACTTGTAATATTTTGTTATTTCAAAACACATACAATCACAAAAAAATTTTGAGGCTCTCTGCCTAGCCCTGCTTTAATGACAAAAAAAATAATAAATAAAATAAAAATAATAATTCCCACCTTGCGGTAATGGGTGTAAAAAAGTAATTATCATTAACTTTTCTGAAATCATTCTGCCCTCAATTATGGGGTGGAAAAAACTAAATACAACGCAGCACGCTAAACATTGGAATTACGAATTCCAAATTACAGCTAATTTGAATGGAAAATGTTGCTAAGCTAATTTCTGCCATGAATATTTAGTTCTATTTATAAATTACTATGGAGTCATTACATATAATAAACATTGTGCCGCTTACATAAGTCAGATCTGTGATTTATCAATGCGATATGTATGCCCTATTCCAATGAAATTCGGCATGAGTGACTAAATTTAGTACAAAAATAAATTTGCCAAATTATATTGAAATCGGTACAGATTTGGATATAGCTCCCATATATATTTTCGGTCGATTTTGCTTATTTGATGCACCCAACGCGATATCCAACGAAATTTGGAATGCGTGACGGGATTTGATCAGAAAATAAATTCGTCAAATTATCGGTTCAGATTTGTATATAGCTCCCATATATATTTTCGACCGATTTCATTTATATGATGCACCCAACACGACATGTATGCTCGATTTCAACAAAGTTTGGAATGCGTGACGGGATTTGATCAGAAAATAAATTTGTCAAATTATATTGAAATCGGTACAGATTTGGATATAGCTCCCATACATATTTTCGACCGATGTTGTTTATTTGATGCACCAAGCACGACATGTATGCTCGATTCCAATGAAATTTGAAATGCGTGACGGAATTTGATACAACAATAAATTTGTCAAATTATATTGAAGTCGGTTCAGATTTGGATATAGCTCACATATATATTTTCGGCCGATTTTGGTTATTTGATTCACCCAACGCGATATGTATGTCCGATTCCAGTGAAATTCGGCATGAGTGAATAAATTTAGTAAAAAAATAAATTTGCCAAATTATATTGAAATCGGTTCAGATTTGGATATAGCTCCCATATAAATTTTCGACAGATTTCGTTTGTTTGATATACCAAATACGATATTATGGTTCTATTCAAATGAAATTTAGAATGTGCGACGGGATTTGATCGGAAAATAAATTTGCCAAATTATATTGAAATCGGTTGAGGTTTGGGCATGGCTTACACATATGGTATGTATGTCCGATTCCAATGAAATTTGGAATGTATGGCGGGATTAGACCAGAATATAAATTTGTCAAATTATATAGAAATCCGAAATTTCAGTGAAATGTGGAAGGTGTGACGGAATTTGGTCTAAAAGTAAATTTTGTCAACTTATAGTTAAATCGGCTCTCGTTGTAAAAATAAAATTATATATAACTAGCTGACCCGGTCCGCGTTGCCGGCCCGTACTTTTAGTCTTTAACGTATATTTTTTAAAGCATAATAAGTCACAGAGCTGAGTTATGTAAGTGACACAATTTTTATTATAAGTAATGATTCCATAGTTATTTCTAAAAAGAAATAAATATTCATGGCAAAAATTATAATAGATGTTCATCTACCGTTGGATTAAGATATTTTGAATAGCCTGATCTTATTTTTCAGCTATAGGCTTTACTTTGAGTTTCAACAACCTGTATTATATGGAACATCTATAATAGCCCCATGTGAAAACTCTGCTCAATTTTTGGTATTGTAAAGAGCTTAGCAATATTTTCCATTCAACTGAGCTGTAATTTGGAATTTGTGTTTCCAAAGTTTAGAATACCGTGCTGCGTGGTATTTAGATTTGTCCACCTTCTAATTGTGGGCAGAATGATTTCAGAATAGTTAAAAGATAATTACTCTTTTACCGTAAGAATAGAATTAATTTTTTTGTCATTTTTGTTTGTTCATATGTGTTCGCATTTTCCAGCTGAAGCACGATGTAGGTCCTGGAATTGAAAGCTAAATGTCAATTTAAGCATGAAAGATCGCCATTTAAAATCGTATTGCGTACCATCCGAAATTGTATGAACTCTTAAAATCCGTCAAACCGTTCTTGAGTTATAAGCGTAGTAACTGACATACTTTCTTTTATATGGTGAAAGTAATTCTTTATTTTGTTCACAAAAAAAAACGATTGAATTCAATATGATAAGCTAAATTAAAAAAAAATCTTACATTATATAAAATTGGCAAAAAAAGAGAAGCAAATTAAAAAAAAAAATTCAACTTATTCGCTGATTTTTTACAGCAAATGTTTAGAGGTCCTTACGAAGTTTGTCAATAGAATGTACTATTATTTTAAAATTCGATTCCATTAACATTTTTTCAGTTTTCCCCGATTTTAGAATTTTTGCAATGAGATCGTGATTTTTTAGTGATTTTAAAAAAGTAATTAAAATATTGAATTTTTTGTTCATAGCTTATTATCTTCTGAAATGATATTATTCGTATAATTCCATTTACCCAAAAAATACATAAAATCTACAAATAACATTCTTGTCCGTTGTCGCTTTATACTCCCCAAAAAGATATTGGTATTAAAGATATTAGTATTAAAAGATATTAGTATTAAAAAAACACTACAAATGTACATTCGAAAATAGCAAGTCAAAATTGAAAAAATCATGCTAAAACATTAATATTGTACATTTCAAAAAACAAAATGAAAATATTAAAATTTCGAATTTTTACGCGATGGTTTTGGATTTTATCCTTTTCTGCCAAGAGACAATTTCAAATTTGTCTGTATCGTTAAAATCAGATACGCGGTTCTTGAGTTATAAGCGTAGTAACTAACACAACTTTCTTTTATACATTTTGATATATTTAGATTAATAAGTAGGTGTGGTTAGTTCCTTAGCCCCCAAATAAATATTTAGGGTTGGGTGGGAAGTCAACAGTATCTCGTGTAATAATTTTCAAACCGATATCTTCATTATTTTGGCAAATATAACGATTTTAGATAAATCGAAATAGTGGGCGGGGCCAATATTTTTTCTTTAAAAACCTAACTCGGGGTATGACGAACGTTTGTACAAAAAAATTATGCAAATAGGACCATCCGTTCTCAACTGATTCCATTACTAACGAACAACAATTGATTTATATATATAGATTATTCTAAAAACATATTACACAGGCATATTTCAAAAGGTAAAATATAGACATTAATATGTATTCTAATATGATGGAAATTAAAATTTATCTTTTTCCTACAATACTGTTTTTTTTTTTAGTTTTTGATTTATAGTATTAAGTATAGGTTTACAATACATGGAGAATGATAGTAATAAAATGTGAATATCAACAAAATTAGTTCAATAATATTATAATTAGAAACAATTAGTTTTTTCATCCTGTATAAGTTAGATACTTTGCCCCTCAACTTCCCTTGCTCGATCAATCACGGATGCTGATTGGCGCACAGGTATCTCCTCTATACTCCCCTGGCGGAGACCGTAGTGAGCGGATCGTCGCTGGGCATTGGTTGTTGTCGGTAACCTCACCTTGTTACACATGCTCTCATTGGAAGTAGTTGTAGTTGTATTAGTAGACAGACATGGGATCCTCTGCGATAACCTAGAACATCTGCGTTCACTTGTCTTTAGTCTTTGAAGCGAAACCCATCACGGCCACTGTCGCCAACAATCCATATGAAAAGAGGGAACCTTATTGTTGAAAAAACACATCAAAAGCAATTCAATAAACCAGCAAATTTTGCAAGAAAAGAAACTAATCCTAATTGTTTTATTTTTCTTATTGTTTCTTTTCCCCCATTACTCTACATAAACACATTATTTTAAAATGGTTTTACTTTCGGACATGCCGATTCTTAAATTTGACTACGAAATGTTCGTTATCATCCTCTGATTCAATCAGTCTCACAGGTTAAAAAAGGATTTTCAATTTTGTTAAGACGTTTCCTTGTATTTTCTGCATTGGCATAATTTGTATCGATTGGGGTTTCTTAACTATTTGAGGATTAAATTTAGGAATTTTGCTGTAGCAATTTTGGAAAAGACGTCAATACATGTCAGGTAGTGATTCCTATCGACTACAAATCTCTCTCCTTTTCGTAGGAGGCGTGTGACTTTAAAGGGAAGTTTTTACAATGGTTACATAACTCACACTCGTTTATAATCTTTTTAAGCCAAGAGGTCACCATATCTGTCTCGCTTGTCATACGGCTCCAAGGGCTACATTTGACGCATCGGTTGTCTAATATGGGATCATTAGTTATGAGAAGTTTTATAGTGTCGACAGCATTTATATATTCCTATTGGACGAATTGATTTTGTTTCCCTTTTTTAAACAATGTGTTAAAGGTTTTGTTATTTTCGAAAAATCTTTAATAAATTTCTGATAGAAACCGGTTAATCCAAAAAACAACTTTTTCCTTTTTCAGTTTTTTTTTTTGGAATGGAACACTCTAAAATCGCATTGATTTTATTAGGCTAGGGTGATTTTTATTAGGCCTTATGCCCTCGGAATTAATGATATGGCCAAAAATCGGCTTCTCTTCTCAAAAACGCACATTTTTACCTGGATCTTAAGTTAGCTGCACTAAGTCTATCAAAACTTTTTGAGGGACGAAATATGCAATGAAGCACTAAAAGCGATGATATCGTCTAAGTAGACCATACAATTTTTCCCGATCAATTTGTATTGTATTG